GCCCAGCTGAGGTAAAAAAAGCCCTACAAAAGTGGAAAAAAAACCAAACTCTGGAAACACTCCCACCCTCCACCAGGAGTCTGTCTGCACCAACCACCCCAAGCATCCACCCCTCCCCAGGGCTTCCCATCATCAGCCACATCCCCATCCTACTGGAGATGCCACCAGTCTGCAGCTACACTGCACCAGAGCTATCTGAGGGACAGCCACTGCTGCTGCTGCAGCCCTGAGGTACACAACCCGTGGGAGTCAGGTGCCAGTGAGGTCCATCTGCAGTGCAGAAGCCACGTGTGACCCAACCTACAGCCCAGCTTGGGGCCCATGCAGACACAAAGGCTCCCAAAACACTTTCCCCAGAGTCTGTATCCTTACTCCAAGCCCTTGCCAGCCCACAGCACAGCAGCCTGTCACACTGTCAGCTTTGCTCTCATCTTTGCCATCAATACAAGTTAGACATGACAACTCCTCTATGACTCTCAAGGGCTTTTCCCCCCCCCACCCTGTTTTTATTTGATTTGTGAGGATTACTTAACAGTGGCATCAGATAACCTCCTGTCTTCTGGGAACTCTACAGACTTATATTCAAATGCATATTTGCTAAGACTAAAGGCCTTTCTTTCCAAAACCCAAAACTTCTCTAAAAAATCCACAAACTGATCCCCACAGTCACCCTGGGGCATAGGAAGAGGGAAGGAGAAAGATGGAGAGCTCCAGCTCCCAGAAAGCCACAACTATATTCCACAAGGTGACCCACTGGTGCAAGAAGGAAGAAGGTCATCTAGAAGAGTCCTTCAAGGCCCATATGATGAGAATTGGTGATAAATTCTGGATAAAGGTATCCTGCTCCTCACCCTCCCTGGGGAGATGGATATAGAACTCTGAGTGGCCTTGGCAGTGCTCCCCAGAGCTCACAGGAGACCAAAGGAGTTCATGAGGATGAGCATGGCTATGGTTGAAGAACAGCACCACAGAGAGGGCTGAGTCTCTGTAGTACTTCCTACATGCCCAGAGGAAAACCCTGGGCAGCAGCTGATGGGCTGGAGCTGCTGCTGCAGCAGGGTCTCACACATGCTCAGACTGCAGCTGGACCACTTGCACAGAGCCCAAACCAAACAAACTAGATCAGCCAGGAGAAATAATTTAAGGGGAAAACATCCCAATAATTGAGCCTCTTTGCAATTGTTTTACTGGCTGTGAATCCCTGATCCCAGCCCCCAACACAGCCCAGCAAAAAGAGTGTTCCATGGTTTTGCCTTTAAGTACAAACCACCTGGGATGGGAACACAGCTCCACAGACCTTAATTTATAACAGCAGGGAGATCAACAGATCTGAGCAAAGCCAGCAGCCATGGCAGTGTGATCAGAGGAGCAGGAGGTGAAGGACATAGTGCAGCCATATTCACAAGGGCACTGGGCACCAAGGCTTGGCTGCTGTAAAAAATCACGTGTAGGTTCCCAGTCCTCTACAGACAGAAAGCTGTTCACATTAAGAAGCTGTTTGGGTTGCTGGGTGAAGGATGGCACAGACCCTGGCCACATCAGCTGGGGGAAACCTTGGTGGTGTCACCAGGAAGAAAGGAGTGTTCAGTGAGTATTTCTGCAATTGAGTTAGGTCAAAGCCAGACAACATGGGAAGAGGATCCGGGTGAAATGTTTGCTCTTCCATGAGAAGACACAACACATAGCTCACAGGTCCAGATAACACACATTTAAAACACACCAAAATCCCAGCTGACAAGCTGTTTGCATGTCAAAGGGTGATCTCTGGCCAGCTGCAGATGATACAAAGTCCCAGGAGAGACAGCAGCCTTTGCCTGCCAAAATTAAAATGGGTAAATAGCTGACTCGGGCAAGCACAGGCTGGTCAGCAAAGACAGACCGAAGGCAAAAGAAACGGATGGCTGCAACTGGACCAGATCACCAGGAAGCAAAGACTGACATAATTAATGCCAACCAACACATGTTTACAGCTGTCAGATCCTGTTGGCAAGCATGATTTATTTTTGTGGGGACTGCAGGCTTGACTGATAAATCAATCAGATCCCTGCCATTCATTCAAACTCAGAGAAGATGTAGGACTTGGTACAATTCTGGACTCATCATTAGGGACTTCAGTGATAGGACAAGGGGTAATGGGTTAAAACTTAAACAGGGGAAGTTTAGATTGGATATAAGGAGAAAATTCTTTTCCTGTGAGGGTGGTGAGGCACTGGAATGGGTTGCCCAGGGAAGCTGTGAATGCTCCATCACTGGTGGTGTTCAAGGCCAGGCTGGACAGAGCCTTGGGTGACATGGTTTAGTGGGAGGTGTCCCTGCCCACAGCAGGGGAGTTGGAACTGGATGATCTTAAGATCCTTTCCAACCCTAACTATTCTATGATTCTATGATTTTCCACTTTTAATGAAGAAACAACAACTTCATTAAGGGACAGTGGCACGTGTTTGCGGTCACTGTTACCTGGCTCAGAACAAACTCACAAGGGGGGGTGGTCTGTGGCAGGGGGCAAGATCTTCACCAGACATCTCTACACCACAGCAATAAGACCACTGCTGAAATCAAGCATCCAATTTGCAATAGTGACAAGTCAGAGAACTTTCTAAGCTAAAAACAGGTCCAAAAATAAGGGTCCAAAATAGGATGTGCTTTCACCCCACAGGTCCCCTTCATTCCCCTCCTCTTCCTGTTCCACTCCCCTATTTTTCAGCATCTCCAAAGCTTTCTCCACCCTCCCTACATTCCACTCCTCTCCCTGCCTCCTCCTCCTCCCTCTCCATCCCTGCTCTCCCACACCTCCTTTCTATGACAGGCAGCCATGGATCCTCCCTCCACTTCAGCTAACTCCTCTCCACTGGAGCTGGCATTCCACCTCTGCTACTGAGTCCCCTTTCATGCCTCCTGACTTTGCCATTCCACCCGCTTCCTCCCTGCTGCTGCTGGGGTGGGAGGGCAGTGGGGGGCACACAGCACTCAGCAGGCCTGACCTGTGGCTCTTATTAACAGTGCCCTTCTCAAAGGAGGCACAGCATGAAATAAATAAATAAAGCAAATCTGTCTCACTGCTGTCTCGGGTTGCTTAAGGGAGCCGGGCATCGGGGGTGGGATGAAGGATGCTATTCGGAGAAGCTGTCTCCATGGCAACCACCATTCCCACCACCAAGCAGGCATAGGTCACCTGTTTCCATGAAAGTTCCCCCCCCCCCTTCCCCATCTCTCCACCCTGTGAATTGCCAGCAGAGCCCCAGGGATGCAGGTGGTCTGGCCTAGGGGAGGAATTGCAGGGATGCTGGTGGCACAGCTGCCAGCACCCTCCAAAGACCCCCACACCACATCAGAGGAAGCCAGGGCATTCCCGGGGTGTAGTGTGCAGGGACCTGCAGTACCCATTCCCCTCTGCCCCAGGCTGGCAAGGCAACCCCACAGTCAGTCTAACATGGGCAGAAAGGCCACTCTTTGCTGCAAGACTTGGGGATGGATGCATGCACCCTGACATGTGCTGTAGGGACTGAGGCAGAGATCAAAACGTGTCCCCTCCCTCTGTACGTGTCCCTGGGCACTGCATTCCCACAGGATTTCAGTTCTTTATTTTAATTCAAAATCGGCCCCTCCCACTGAATGCTGCCAAGGTGCTTCCAGAGCAATCCATGGCTCCCTTTTTAGCTCCGACAACCCCATCTCTCACGCGACAGATGTGCTTACCAGGACCTTTCCCCAAGTAAGGCAGCTCCAGTCCCATGTCGCCGAACACTCCCGCAGCCAACCTGATGCTCCCACTCGTGCCAGCCCCTTCCCCGCATTCCCACACATCCACTGCAGGGCTGGCAGAAGGGCCCAACCCCCCCCCGCACCAAAACTCAGCTCCAGGGAGAGATGTAGAGAGCATGGAACGAAGAGAATGGGGAACTGGTTCTGCTCTCCATCAGCTCTCCAACACTAGGGGGACACGAGCAGCAGAGGTCTCACCCACTGCCGGTGTTAACACGCCTCTGCTGGTTACTAGCGGGCAGCTCCCTAAGGCTGGGGTGCGCAAGTGGGTCGGCAGAGTCCCTCACTGAAGCTCTGGGGTTGGCACCCCGGTAGTCATTCTGCGGCACAGCACAGGCTGCAGGATTCACACGGTTCCCCCACAGGGCTGGGAGTTTCGCCAGGAAAAGCAAGTTTATAAATAGTGCGTTTCAACACGAACAAATGAAAGCAGCAGGGCTTGACAGCCAGATCAGACAGGGGCTGAGCATAGGCCCCTCCCCAGCATCCTCTCCACCAGGAAGGATGGTCACATCCCTTCCCTCCATCACCCAGCTGGCCAGGACCATCCTCACTCTCTAGAAAGCCTGGACCTGGAGATGCCTGTGTCAGATGTGCTGCTTGAGAACGCCCTTGCTGCAGCTGGTCCGGCAGCCGGGGCAAAACAGCAGAGCTGTCATCAAAATACCAGAAGCAGTGGGGATGGCCACCTGCTCTGCTCAGGGTAAGGGCAAACAGCCCACAGCTGCCCAACATCGACCAAGGGCCACAAATTTCAATGCATTGCTTGAAACAAAGTCTTCCTAAGCCCATGGACCAGAAAGTTTCTAACTTCTCCTCCCACTCCTGCAGAAAACAGCTGCCGCCCCATCAGTGAGGCTGGCACTTGAAACAGAAGTCTCATGGCACAGTGCATTACACCAAAGGGGCACATGCCTGCCAGATCCTAACAAGAAGACATTCAAGGAAAATAGTAGCTTTTATCTCTGCATTAAGGAGGAAAGCAGCAAGCCATCAGATGAGAACTGAATTCTTGTCAACACAAAACAGCAGAAAAGACACCCCTGCACCTATGGAATGAATGGGAGGACATCCCTGCTGGGAAAACACCTGCCAGATTGCAAAAGGAGGAGATCTTGATGGCAGTGCCCAAGGGAAGACATCAAGACATGTCAGAGCAGCCCCATTAGCTGTCAGCATGAGAAGCCTCTGACAGTCTACTGAACACATGCAGAGCTCTTCACGCCATGCTTGCTTACCTTGATGTAGGTGTCAAGGGCTGGGTGGACACGGTTGATTGCTAGATGGATGGACAATGGCGTAGTGAATGGGAAGGTCGCCATGACCACATGGCTGGGAGCAGGAAAGGAGAAGATCTTGAAGCCATACTTCTGGAACCGCTTGATTTGCTCTTCTGACGGCTTTGCATCTCCCTCGCTGAGGATTCGGCCTATGGCAAAACGGCACTTCTCTGGAGACACCTGATCAAGGGGGACAGACAGCCAGTGTCAGAAGAAGAGAGAGTCTTAATACCAGCCTACCAGAGTCTTAAAACCTCAACCTACTGAGCATGGAGGAAGTAGACCACCACAAACCAGGGTAAATGCAATGATCGGGCACACCAAAGTAGGTGCCCGCTCCTAGGTGTCCACACTCCTCCCAGCCTTAGCTCACAGACCAGTGCAGAATGTACTGCTTCCCTCCTTGGAGGACACAGGGACTTGCAGCAAAGAAACCCCATCAGGCTGCTCACCGAAACCTGTCCCAGGTGAGTAACTGCCCAGTGTCTCTCTTGCTCTCCCCCGCATCAGAGACCCAACTGTTAAGATGAGCTCACCACCATCCCCATGTGCAGGGCATCCCTGCTACTCTGGCAGGAACTAAAAAGAGATTTGACCACAACCTGCCCACTTGCCTCCACCATACCCTCAAGGAGGTTGACCTGCACCAGTGCCTACTCCCAGCAGCCACCCAGACACATGTGCTGGTGGAACCGACTTGCACGGGCCACCAGCACTAAGCCAGAGAGAAATACAGAGGCTGATGGGTCTCTCCTACATGAGCACACTCAGTCCAGCTGTTTCAGGGATGGGAAAACGAAGGCATGAAGACTTGCACAGTCAGCAAGCTATTTGTAGTAGCACGGAGAGAAACAAATCCCCTTCCATCCTGGACCGCAACAACATGCAAAATGTAAAACATGCTCTCTCTGTATTTGGGAATGCTCTGCAGGCTTTGGCACCACAAAACTCGTGGGGATGATGTGAGGCAGAAAGAGGGTGCACACAAGGCCACCGTGTTACCACTTCCCATCTTCATGTGCCTCCCAAGGGGATCACCACTCTGTGCTTCCCAATCTCATACCTAATTCTGCCTGTGCGTCTCTTTCTGCAGCATAACTACCTCACACTGCACTCCTTGCCCTCCCTTTCCTTTAAAACACTCTTTAATGTTGCAGAGCAGGACTATCCCGGAGGAGAAACACAGCAGATCCAAAAGGAAGGAAGAAAACAGCCTGTCAGAAGTAGCAGCATTCACCAGGCTGAGGGCTGGCACCTGACAGCTCGCTTTTGCCCTCCTATGCTGCAAGAGGGAGCTGCAGACAGGGCTGCGCTGAGTATCACTGCTTTGGGGCCAGGAAGAAGCAGCAGATCCACCCCAAAGACAGAAAGAGGCAACAGTTAAAGGCATCCCTAGGGAAAAGTCCAAATGAAGCAAGGAGATAAGGGACATCTGTAGTAAATTCCTTTAAACACGAAATGAAATCTCCATTTACATCCTGAGCAAAGACAGTTCACCCCCAGAGCAGGTGGAAGGACCAGAGCTGCCGAAGCAGGCAGCACCACTCGGGCCAGGTACATTTGCTTCCTCCATTCTCCTTTTAACTTGCTATTTCATAGTGTGCAGACCCATAGGTGCTTTCTCAAGGACAGCAGCAAGACAGATTTGCTTCCTCCCCTGGCTAACAAAGACCATCTCAAGGGAAGGAAGGAAACACTCCAGCTAAAACCACCTTTTCCCTAATTGTCCTTTTAGGATGGGCAGATGCTGATCAAAGCCTCTGCTCCCCCAAGCACCCCAGCAGAGAATCTTTGGAAATTATTAGTTAACCTAATCAGCAGTTCTGCTGATTGGAGCAAAACCCATTCTTGCATTCAGAGAGCTTTTTGGCCTCATCCATCCAACATCTGGGCACAGGCTGGTCACTAAGCATGTGAACATGCAGATGGAAGGCAAAAGGCCCTGGCACGTGCCTACAACTAGATGTGAGCAGAAATGCTTGGCTGGAGCTGAGCACAAACCCACCCGCCACATCCCATCCTTGCTGAGGAGTTATTTTTGCTCCTGACAGAGGTGGGAGAAGTAGGGAGAAATCCTCTGGGCTGCTAAATATTAAATAAAAAGGAAAAAAAGAAAAAAAAAGTGCAAATTAATATTAATCTTGTCCATTAAACCCCATAAAACATCACTGGCAGGGGTTCAGCAGCACTCAGGGAGCATCCTTGTGTGAATACTAAGAGCCAGGAGCCAGAAGGAAGCTCTGGGGATGTGGCTGCCCTGAGGCCCAGTGTGACCCTGAGGCATCCCACATGCTCCAGGCCACGGGGCTCTGCCCAGCACACAGCTGATGTTCTCTGGCATCCCCATCCTCTCTTCTACCAGGAGCCTCCTTTGGCCATAAATGTGACAGGACAGCAAATCCCACACTGGTACCTGCTGGTCATCAGCCCCTTCCTGCTGCAGCACTGGGGCACTAAACCCCACAGCAGCTGGTGTCCAAGAGCCAGGCTGGAGGCAGCTGTCTGGGCGGAGCCCAGCAGTGCTTGTCCAGGGACACAGGGGGACACAGCAGGCAGCAAGCACATTCTGCTGCCTGATGACAAAAGGTCTATTTTTGGTGACAAGTCAACATCCGCGACGGGTGACCATCTCTGGATGGACCAGCCTCTGCCACAGGGTGCTTCACCAAGGTCAGGAGAGCGCTGAAAACAAGGAGGAAGAGGTCCTCTTCCTTCCAGGGGAAAGGGAGCCTGAGTAACCGATTCTGCTCTGCTGAACCTCCGGGAACAAGGAGCCAGCAGCGCACACCATCTCCCATACCATCACAGCTACAGCAGGTACAAGCACACAGTGTGAAAGCAGAAGGTCTGCAGGGCAACCACAGGCATGTTCACATCACACCCCCAGAGCAGGGTAGCACTAAGCATGGATGCTGAGCCCTTCCAGCAGCACTTACTGCCCCGCACAGGGTTCTCAACTCCAGGTGAGAACCTTGATGCAAGGACACAAATCTGTGGCAGAAGAATTAGCCACCTGGACCACACGGGCCTCAGCACACCATGCATTCCTCACGGCTCCCATCCCTCACCCACTTCAAACAAGACACTTCTTGCGGACAAGTGTCCAAGCATGCTCAGTCAAACTCTGCCACTGCCCAGCTTATTCCATGGGGGAAAGTACACTCCACCACCCTCCTTCCCAGGCCAGGAAGAGGCACTGCAGAGTGTCTTTTTGCCTCCCATGATCCAGAAGTAAAAACTGGAAGATAAAAGGTAAGTCAGCTCAACACTAGATACAAAGACACAAGGTGGCTGAGCGCACCAGGCTCCAGAGGCCACTGTCAAGCTCAGTGCTTTCTTGCCTCTGATATTTTCCTGTCAGGCCACTCAGGACTGTGTTTTCACGGACAAGTCCTGTCCAAGCAGGTCCAACCCTTGGGAGCACCATGCTGCAAGCAACGAAACAGGGTTCCTAAAATAGGATCAGTCACCCCCAGAGCAGAAGCACGGGGTGAGAACTATCAACCCCATCACTGTGCCCCACACCACCCCTAGCACACATGCCCAAGCATACACACAGAGCTGCTAACTACTCTGCTGTCCCTTCCTGTGGCATTCCTCCACGGTCACGCTAGCTACTGCAGCATTACTGGGGAGCCAGGCTGTCTGCCACAGACAAATGCCCACATGCTGTTATCTGGAGACCCCAGTGCCACCTCACATCAGCTACCAGGCTCCTCACTCTCCAGCAAATTCTGGTGCACTTTTATTTGCTCCTTGTCCTGGACAGTACCCACCAGAGTACCTAGGTCTTGCTGGCAGCCATGAGGCAGTGCACTTTTTGCTCACCTCTCAGCCTGAAAAGCATCATGGAGTTAACTGTTTCATCAGACAGGAGCCCTCAGCACACCTCACCTGAGGTTTCAGTAAGAACTCTCAGGGGAAGAAAGGACTACAGGGAAGCTCAGAAAAACACGAGAGCACTACAAACAAGGGGAATATGGATGAAGAACAGAGCAAGCTGAAGAGACCATCTGCTTTCAGCCACAGAGCTGCAAGTCCAGAAGGAGCCTTGGCTGCACTTCCTGCAGCCAAGGTATCTGCCAAGGAATGCGTTACCTTGGGATCATGAACATTGGCCTCTGCTCCATAATAACATCCACTATGCTGCTGCTAACTTGCTCATAAGGAGCTATCAGAAGATAGCAAGCTTTGCTTGACCAATGCCTTCCAGTTAGGGTTGTCCAAGAAATAACCTGCTTTCAGGTGCCTTTCCCCACAGAGCATCCTCTACATATCTGGGAGACCTTGTGAATCCCAGTACTCATCTACAGAAGGTGAGCTGAAAGTGCCTGAAATACAGGTAGGGAGCATCCTGAGCTGTGAACCCGGGTGCTGACCACAAGAGCTTACAGGCCCCATCAGGCATGCCTTACCGTGTGCGGGTTGTCGTAGTAGACACCAATGGAGTAGAGCTTTGAAGAGATGCTGCAGCCATCCGTGAAGAGCTGCCCAGATTCACCATACGGGCCTACCCTGAACTTGTAGGCCAGTGTGATGTTGCCGACAGGTGGGGAGCCAGCACTCACAACCACCTCTGTGAAGAGCCCCGAGTAGACAGCGAAGCCAAAGACGGTCAGAAGCAGCAGCACGACCAGCACTGCAATCAGCCCGAGGAGCACCCAGTCAGACATGACGGACGCTTGGCGCTCCACGCTTCCTGATGCACTAGTGGCAAGAGATGAGAAAGAAGGGGAGTTAAGCTAGCGCTTGGACAAGCAATCACTCTGAAGATATTTATTTGCAGTAAAACACAACCACTTCCAATCCCTCTTACATGTGAAGCTTAAAGACAGTGGAACCACCCTAGAAATCTCCTGTATATTAGCCCCACATTGCATCAGCCTGTTCCAATTGGTCACCAGGTACAAATTATACTGCTTCAGCACCTCTTGGGAATGAGGTGATTATGGAGGAGAAATGGAGAGGTACTGCCCCCATCTCCCAGAACCAGCCACACCGCTCATGTCCAGCCTTGCATCCAGGAAAGACCCAACAGATCAACAGATACCCAACACTGGGCTAAGGATCAGGGGTCTATAATAAAATAATTTTTAATTTATAAATGCCATGCCTGATATTTTGACCAGGGGAGCCCCTTTGATCCAAGCACTCAGAGAAGCTCAGAGCAAGTTGAAGACCTAGCTAGAAAAAACATCCCAAACACACTCGGGTGCAATGAATTACCAGTAAACCTTTTAGATTGTCAGTTTTAGCCTAAAAGAGTTTTTATAACCCCAACAAAAGCTTCCTGTTTTGCTTGGCAACTTTTCTCCCTCACACTTGTTGCAGGACACAGCAGGCTGGTGAACACCTCCTGCTTGTTTCCACCCACCAAGAGCAGTGGCTCTGGGAAGCTGCAACCCAGACCATTGCAGGAGAGTTGTTAGCTTTTTATTCTCCCTTGAATACACAGACCTGGTCACAGGGACTGGCTGCAACACTCCCCTGGGACTTGCACAGGAGCTCAGTTTGAAAGCAAAGGTTGAAGTAAACAACTCACCTTCACCTCTGTGTTTTAAACACATTTTATCCAATAAAAGCTGTTCACAGTGGCTGCTGCTTGCTCAGCTGTACAGCAAGAGAAAAGAGTCACATCCTGGTAGAAGCCAAGGGCAGCTCTGCTCAACCCCAGCAAGTAGTGGTACAGCAAAAGCAAGCCCTGCAGATCCGGCACCACCAGCTATGCTCTCAGTGCCACGGCAGCACCAGGTCGGGCACCATCTCAAACCATGGCCCTACTCACCTGCAAAACCAGCTCAGCCCAGAAACAGTTCACGACATCTGATCCACTGGGGATCTCTAGCGCAGGATCTGTGGCGCTAGAGCAGGAAAAAATAAACATCATTGCTTCCTTTTGAACATACAAGGCCAAAAGCAGAACAGTCACAGCAGAGCACCTGAATGGCACCCAGCTGCCTCGGACCTGCTCTCCAGAGGAGGGGCGTCCCAAGGAGCAGCTTCTCCCACAGGACCTCACGAAACAAGATTTCTTCCCAAAACTCTGGGGCTGAATGCAGGGGCACCAAGAAACACAGACACTGGAAAGGAACGTCGAAGGCGGACAATGTCCTGCTTGTATGTCCCACCCTGGGGACACCCGAGTGGTACCGGGCATTGCTTCAGGGTGGCCTCGCAGGGGAGGAGCCCCTGACCCACAGCACGCCCGCAGCTTTACACCCGTTCCGGTCCCCAGCAGCACCTAGCCTCCTCCCCATAACCAACATAGATTTATTACTTCAAATCACAGTTCTGGCGATTCTCCATGAGCTGCCGGCCCGAGGGCCCAAAAGACGGCTGGCACCAGGGGAGAAACCGGTGTTTTCGGCTATTATTCCCGGTCCCCATGGGTCGTTCCACGCCCCGGCGGCAGGCGCGGGCAGTTTCCCATCTGCCCTCCTCACAGGCAGCGGGAGCAGAGGTCGCCCGGTCCCTGCCCGGCCAGAAGGCCGTGCCCGGGCGGAGGGCAGGGTCTGACCCGAGCGGCCCTAGCACCCGGCCCGGCCGGCCTGCAGCAGGCGCAGCTCTCGGCCCCTCTTGGCTGCAGGCAGAGCCCTCGGGGCACCGGCTGCAGCCCCGCCATCGGCCCAGCTGCCGGAGCGGTGAGGGACCAGCCGAGCCCGGCCGGCGTCCCCCCAGATGCAAGCAGGCCGCGGCCTGGGGAAACCGGAGCGAAGCAGCTCTGGCCCGCCCGGCCCCGCCGCCGTTCCCCCAGCACAGAATGCCCCCCGCCCCGGCGCTGGCCGGAGGGACGCGAGCGCCGCCCCGCTCTCCTCACCCGGGGCTCGCCGGTGACGGCCGGCCCGGAGCGCTCCCGGCTGCCGGCTCCCGCTCGCCCCGCCCCTCTCCGGCTGGCACGCCCCTCCCCGCCCCGCCAGGCGGTGGCTGCGCGCGGCGGACAGCGCGGGACGCGCGCGGACGCAGGAGGAGCAGCAGAGGGGGCGGAGCTTCCGGCGGGGCCACAGCCCCTTCCCGCGGCTCGATGGCCGCAGCCGGGGCAGCCCAAGAGAGCGCCCCCTGGCGTGATGCGGGGCCGGTGCAACTCGCGCCCCGTCCCCTGGCCCCCGCGGCCCAGCACCCGAGCCGCGCACTGCACCGCGCCGGGGGCCGCCGGGACCTGCTCACCCGTGCCCGCTGTGAGAAGGCTTCTCGCCCCTCACGGCACGTGCCGGTCCAAAATGCGGCTGGACGTGACTGATAAACAACGTGTAACCTGTTAGCACAGCGTTACCTGTGCTGGGGCTGCGGCAGCTCCGCACGCGTCCCGGCTGAGTGACGCCCAGCGTCGGGCTCCGGAGCAGCCGGAGGCTCCGGTTAATGGGCTCCTTCCCTCGGGCGCTGGACAAACAGGTTCCGCGATGACAAAGGACACATGGGCCGTGCGTTGCGGCCCTGACCACAGGGCCTGGCTGGTCGCGGTACTGGGCAGAGTTGCTCTGCAGCGCTTGGGCCCTTCGGTGAGACTGTTGGTTTCTGCTGATGGTCGGGCTTTGTCACTGCTGGAAGGAAAACCCGGCAGATAGGTTGGCAGACATGGACAGCAGTAGTCAGCAAGGGGGAGCACCAGGAGGGTTGAGAAAAAAAAAAAGTTAAACGGATTGATGATGGTGATAATGATGTTACTGTTACTATACTTCAGTTTTCACTAGTTCAGTTATTAAACCGTTCTTATCTCAACCTGTGGGTTTTACCTGTTTTTCCACTCATCCTCCCCATCCCACCAGAGGAAGGATTATGTAAGCAACTGGCTGTGTGGGATTTAGCTGGTAGTTGGGCTTAAACCATGACAGAGGAGCAAGCAGTCTTCCCTACCTTCTTCTCCTTCTCCAAGAGAGACTTGCTAGAAGGACCCAGACACAATTCCCATCCTTGTTCTTCCACTCTATAAAAGCTTTGACACCTCTCTTTCTCAGCCTCTTCAGTGCTGTTGGCAGGGAAAGTCTGCTCTCTGGTGCTGGTACACCCGCCCAAGCCACCTCCAGATTCAACAGCAGTGGAGTTTGCTGCTGGTGGAGTTCGCCTCTCTCCTGCTGTGTTTTCACATCCGTTTCCCATCTGTTCCAACCCTCTTCATCAGGGTTGTTCATAGAGGGAGTTCCAGGCACTGCTTTTCTCTGATGTGGAGCCAAGGAGGTCATTTATGAACAGTAGCTTGACATACTGTAATACTTGCCTTTCTGTAGCAGCTTTCTAGCAGGGATCTCACGGCTTTCTGTAAAATTCTGTTAAATCTCACAGGCCTTCCTTGTATTTGGCACTACAGCTCTTTTGCAGCTGGAGGAAAATATTTCAGCTTGGTTACGTGTCTTGCCTGGAGCCATACAGTGAATCACTGGCAGAAAGAGGAAGAGAACTCAGAAGCTCTTTAACTGCCAGCTCTGGCCATCACACACTTCTCTTTTCTCCACCCTTAGAGTTATTTAACTCAGCACACATACTTAACACATACATTTTCCCAGTATCACTAACCACTAAAATCTGGGTCTCATGTAGCAGCTTCATACCTTCACTATGAAGCAGTACACTGAGAAAAGCCAAGGCAGAAGCATGTAAAACTCGTGCTTTCTGGGAGGTTTCCCCCTTTTTCCTCACCTGCTTGGCCACATCACACGCCCACCACTGGCACCATAAACTTGTAATATTTGCCACTATAGAACCTCTTGTACCAATCAATAAATTTTCTAAAATATTCATTTGTTCAAATGAAACTGCTGTTGATGGGAAAACCTCTACAGGACAATAGGAAGGGATCACACAAGCAAACACACATGTCCTGGTATCCTGTGAAGGACTAGCAGCCTGAAGAGGCTGGCAGCACTTCAGCCCTTCACCATTCGGTGATAAAGCAGAAGAGGAGATACACTGAAGGACTAACTATTGATCCGTTATTTTCCCCTCACGTTTAAATTAATTTCCCGCTGATTTCTGCTGTTTCTTTGATGTGACAGGAACTAAAAATTCACAGTGTTACAGAATAAGAAGACATTTATGTCTTTTCAGACAAATCTAAAAGTGTTAAAAAATATGCAGGGCTGTCTTATGGTTAGCTGTTTATTTAGGCCACAAATGCTAAATAGCAAACTACTTTCTTCCTGTATGTATTAGCAAAAAGGGTCTTGTAATTAAATGCAAAGTTTTTAAGTTATGGAATGAAATTTTCAGGCAGGCACATAACGTTCCCTACCTCCTGCCTTGAGTTTAGATTCTCATCTTTATGTTCAGATCCCAGGCCTGAACCATACAAACCTGGACAGCGTAGGATCCACTTACTAAATCAAAACTCAAGCCGCCAAACCAAACTGAACCAAACCGACTGCAGTGATGGACAAAACACTCAGCAATACCTGCACGGTGTCTTGAGCAGCAAAGACCTACAGCAGCAGGAGATGGAGGAATTTCCAGTTTGGAGACCAGTCCTTTCCAGTCTGATACGTGGCATCCTATGATTCTTCAACAAATTTACTATGTGCTACCTTTGAGATGACCAGGCTTCTTGCTCCTTTTTTCTAACATTTCTTTGGAGAAATGTGGGTCAGTAGAAGGTTCTCAAGCCACTTTTACTTAGAACTAGTGTGCACCCATCTTTTCTTGTGTGTATACTGACTTCAGTCTCCAGTGAGTTTGATTACTTCAGGTGGAAACTTCTCATTACAGGTTTCATTTTGCTAGGACAAATAAAAAAAATAAAATAAACAAAATCTGTGTTCTTACAAATCATTATTACATTTTAACAATATTTTAGAATAGGAATGCATACAATTGGACAGATTACTCCAGGCACTTTGCCAGGTCTTTTGCCTTAATATTGACTTCTGCCACAGGAATTTCCATGGATACTACAAGCAAACTTTCTTGGAGTTACAGGAGAAAAACTTTTGTAGGCTGTAGCCTATGAGGTCCTCCTTTTGCTGTGGAAGCACTGAACAGTAGAGTTGCATCCTGCACATCTGCTTATCAGCTATTTAGTGAGATATTAAGGTTGTTTTTATTTAACAAATTGCGATGGAGCTTTCATCTCTTCCTTTCAGATGTCACCAACTCTGGTAGCTTCTGTGAATGATAAGCAGTCATTCAGACTCCCCTCCCCAAGGCCAGCAATCACATTTGTACATGGCTTTGATTTTCTGTGAATAAAAGATCATGTACGGGTCTGGGGGAACGTGTTACGCATCTTTGAACTCCCCTGAAAATCATTTTAAACCATTTATAGCTCCAGTCATTTGGAATTAGGGTGCACAACTTTGACTCATGGCCAAACAGGTTTGGTAAATTCCTCCCAGATGCCAGGCATGGGCCAGTGATCAGAAGGGAGCTCTTCTCTGCAGCCATATTCTGTTCTCCTCAAATCAGCAGCAATGTTTCTTGCAGTTGTTTGTGTTTGATCCAGAAGGGAATATCTCCCTTTACCTGCACTGTGGATATTCGTACCTCCTACTGTAGTGTATCACACACACAAAGAATGGGGCTATACACACCTTTTCCTGGTGAAAAAGGTACTTTATAGGGAAATATGTATTGAAATGTTCTCTCAATTTCTCTTCCTGGGGCATGCCTTCAATTTTCATTGTCTTAGCAGCAATCATGTACTTCCTTCTTTATCCTGAGGAAGATCTTACATTGTCTTTGAGCTACAGCAGAACAGACATCTACAAAACAGCCTTTTGTCCTTTTTTTTAACCTCTCTATTGTATGTGAAGTCCTGAGTAAGCTTAGATTTTTTTTCTTGCTGAAAACATGAGACTGTTCACACAGAGCGTTCTTTTCTTCCATCCACAGGGAAACAAGGAAAGCATGAACACCCTA